CCACTGCAGCGCGGGTTTGGACCAACGCCACGCTTTGTTTGCTCGCTACGACGATAAGCCCAAGAGCAAAGCGTAACGGTGCTCGACTTATATGAACGCTAACGGTCGACGGTGAGAATGTCGGCGCTCGTAAAGTATGTCTGCATATGTGCCGTGTTCGTCCAAATTAAACCGCGTCGTCCGATGGAGCGCGCCTTTGGCATCAGGTTAACAAACTGATGAGCAAAGTGACCCCGATACGCGCGTGTTTGATGCAAGTCGGGCTGTCTGGCACACCTTATTGGGAAGTTATGTCTGACGCATCACGTGTAAATCATTGCTGTAGGTTGAATGCAGGAAATCAACGCATACCTGACGCATTCAGTTCGCGTGCAAATCAGGCCGGGTCTCGAACCATGGGTGAGCTCAGGTGCGAAGATCGGAAGGATAAATAGCCGGATGGCCAAGGTTCTAATGATTTCGTGTATGGTGCAAATCAAGCCGAACTTTGTCGCGCAGCGTGTTCCCATCTATGGAAGATAACTTCAACAGATCGGGTGACTTGTGTGAACGTGGAATAATAACTGAGCATTTTCAACGAGGCGCGATGCTCGGGAAGCGTCTATATGAGATGATATTGTCAGCAAACATTGAGCATAGGGGATGATCGGATGCACTTAAAGCATTAAAAAGACGAAAAGGAAAAAACAATTTAATTTTAAATTGTTGCAATTGCAACTGGAATTTAAACGACGTATATGTGGGTGACTTAACTGTCGAAATTAATAGCGACGGCCCACGATCGTGAAATATGTTGATATCCACTTTAGCTCGTTTGATAGATCAAGCGTAACTCTGATATTGGATTTTTATTTGCTTCAAATGACGGCTGAAGCTCGGTTGTGGTGCGCTGTATTTGTCTGGGTTTATTTCGTTCCGTGCGAGGGGGAGGCAGGGAGGGCGCAGGCATCAATGAGATCAGATTCTGCTCCTCATGATTTTTGTCCCGATTTTGAAGCGATTGTGATGGCTCCTTCAGAGGGGAGGCTTCGACCAAACAGCGACGCTGGAGGCGAGACTGGTGAGGATATCTAAACCCGTGGCGACGGCTCCGAGCGGTCGGGGTGCAAACAGGCGACCGATCGTGGCTCTAGGGGACCGGCACAGCAGCGTTCCCACCTTCACGGCGGCGGCACTGCCGGCGGAAGTGGCCCACGTCGGCTTTCACATGCAGCCAAAAGGAGCGGAGACCGCTCCAACCAGGAGCTTCTCCGGCACAAAATGGTCACCTTTGTGGACTGCCGTCATGCAGCGATGCAGAGACGGAGAACGTTGGCCACGTGGCATACCAGCTTGGAGCTCATCGTTCGATTCAAGACGGACGCGACACGCGCGGAACTTCACGCCATTGAGTGGGCGGAGGGGCAATCTTGGCGAAGCCACGGCGCGTCGCGTTGCAGCTGTCGCGCTACGGCTGCCGCCACAAACAAGGCTGTGCCGAGACAAGTGCCCCGTCTGTTGAGATCTGGCTGGTGCAGCGCGCTGCGCCGCGCCAACGAAGCTGTGCGACCATGGAGGGCGCTGCCGGCGGCGCCGAACGCGTGGGTCTCCGGCTCGGCTTGTGTCGCAGCGTCGAAGCGCACGCCGGCCTGTGTCGCAGCGCCGAACGTCTTGGACGTCTGCGTCGGCCTGTGTCGCAGCGTCGGAGTGTGCGCCGGTCTTTGTCGCCGCGTAGGACATCTCGTTCGTCTCGGACGTCTGCGCCGGCCTGTGTCGCAGCGTCGGACGTCTGCGCCGGCCTGTGTCGCAGCGTCGGGCGTCTGCGCCAGTCTGTGTCGCAGCGTCGGACGTCTGCGCCAGCCTGTGTCGCAGCGTCAGACGTCTCGGACGTCTGCGCCGGCCTGTGTCGCAGCGTCGGGCATCCGCGCCATTTCGCGGCTCGGCGCGTCGGCTGCGCCCGGGGCCGATCCGTGCTGCTGCTTAAACTGGCGATAACAAATAGGTGGCGGTTTATCCCGCCAAAGTCATGGGAAGCCAAACGGCGCCCGGCCCTGAGCTGGACGTATCACATTCAAACATAAGTTTACCCTCACCCTCGTCGAACGAAACCGGGATGCGCACCCGGGGCTTCTGTAGGTGTGGCGCCGGACTCGCGCTGGATGACGCATGTTCCAAAAATGGGACCTTGCACAATAGGCATTCGACAACTGCATTGTCAGACCAGCGTCGTGCATGTGTTACAGGACAGCGTCCAGATTCCCACATGTATCCGTGAAGTTGATGCCGCGGCCTATGGCGCCGTCGAACTGGCATAGGCATTTAGCGAGAATGAGGTCGCCTGAGACTAATTGAGCAGTCGGGAGCAGGCGGCACGCAAAACGCCTTCGAGTCATCATAGTTTCACCGGCAATCCCCAGGCCGATGTGAATCACCGTATCGTAGTGGTCCAGCGCGCTTTTGGAAAGACCGGCAAGGGCTTGGAACTGACACGGACATGACCCGTTGAGGGGTCGGCTTATCTGCGCTATCGGCTTGGGTGTTCTCCCGGGGCTTCGGGGCGTCCCCGCCGTCTGCACCTCGCGGCAGCATCGGACGGCTCTGCGGTGTCATCGACTTGTATATGGCCAAGGTTTTGCAAAGGTATTGATGAAAGATTTCTCACGGCACATGGGGCTTCGCCATGTTCAGCGTGGGAAAACGCGGTTTAAGCGCAGTTTGCACATGTGAATTTTGTGGTGATTTGCCTCTTCGGCGGCGGTCGATCAAGCCTGGGAGATGCAAGGTCTTGGCTACTTAGAAAGGCCATGAGACTTAATAACTGCTCATTGCAAATGGAATACTGCCCCGGCAGAGCGAGATCGGCCCGTTCGCAACCTTTGTTGCAGGTTGGTATGTCGTGTAAAGAAGCGCATTGACGATTGCCAGCTAGTGCTCTGCGACCAATGCTAATGCTAGAACCTGAGCCAGGGACATGGCTGCATTGTGTACCCGCTGGGTGACCAAACAGTCAGCTGATCCTCGAAGAGAATGGGCCCGCCACGTGCTGGAACGCCTCGAGCCGACAGCCCGACCCGGGCACAGAGGCGTCGCGTACACCGTGTTGAGCACCCGAGGCGGCGGTTGGCGGGCGCGCGAGAACCGCCCTCCGCAGCACTTGCGAGGAGATCTCGACGCGCCCTAAACCGCGGCGACAGCGACAGCAGCCGCAACTGCCGCGGCATCAGACGAGGTGTGGGTGACGGGAGCCGCTCCCGCTGCTGGTGTCACGTGACGCCGGCTGCCGGTGTGACGGGGCCGCGCGCAGAAGAAGCGGAAGCTAAGGCTGCGGATGATGGCGTCTTCTGCTTCTCTTGCACGGCGTCCAGATGACCGGGGAGCGGGCGAGCGTGTCGCCCTCGTCCGCGTGGCGCGTCCCGCTCGTGGGATTGGCTTGGTGAACAGCCGCAGCGGCTGCCTTCTCCGGCAAGCGGTGTTGCTACTACACGATGATGACAACACTAGATGCCACGATCTCAACGTGTGCGAGAGCCATGCAGCGTATATTGAACAACTGTGGTTCAATGTGAGTTAAGCTATATACGAGGCCATGTTTTGTTCCCTACTTTTGTCAAGCCAATCGCCGTTTCCCATAGGAATTGGATCAGCGCTCCTGGAGACATCGGCGGAGGGTGTAATTTGACCTCGGGTGCGACACCGTACTACGCGACATGGTGCGCGGAACATTGGCGCTTGAAATTGGTGCGTGCCGTGTTTCACCTGCTTTGTCTGCCTGCGGCTCCACCCATGGTTAAAAGTATGATGTTTATTCGTCTCGTTCTGTTCGGTTAGTGCATGCTCTAATTGTGAGCTATTTGTTATGCACACATTCCCGGACAGGCCGTGAATGTGGGTCGGATTTCGTGTCCGTTGGGTTGGGATGGTGAGTGAACTGCGGCGGTTGTAGCTCCGCGCTGATCTCGGGGACCGTATTGTTGCCGGTCGCTCTCGACCCCTGCGTATCGCCGTCTGGCCCTCTGACAGTCTGTCGGTCACCTCGCTCCGTCTGTGGGCGCTGTATGACCGGTCACCTCGCTCCGTCTGTGGGCGCTGTATGACCGGTCACCCTCGCTCCGTCTGTGGGCGCTGTATGGCCGGTCGCCTCGCTCCGTCTGTGGGCGCTGTGTGACCGGTCACCTCGCTCCGTCTGTGGGCGCTGTATGACCGGTCACCTCGCTCCGTCTGTGGGCGCTGTATGACCGGTCACCTCGCTACGTCTGTGGGCGATGTATGACCGGTCACCTCGCTCCGTCTGTGGGCGCTGTATGACCGGTCACCTCGCTCCGTCTGTGGGCGCTGTGTGATCGGTCACCTCGCTCCGTCTGTGGGCGCTGTGTGATCGGTCACCTCGCTCCGTCTGTGGGCGCTGTGTGATCGGTCACCTCGCTCCGTCTGTGAGCGCTGTATGACCGGTCACCTCGCTCCGTCTGTGGGCGCTGTGTGACCGGTCACCTCGCTCCGTCTGTGGGCGCTGTATGACCGGTTACCTCGCTCCGTCTGTGGGCGATGTATGACCGGTCACCTCGCTCCGTCTGTGGGCGCTGTATGGCCGGTCGCCTCGCTCCGTCTGTGGGCGCTGTGTGATCGGTCATCTCGCTCTGTCTGTGGGCGCTGTATGACCTGCCACCTCGCTCCGTCTGTGGGCGCTGTATGACCTGTCACCTCGCTCCGTCTGTGGGCGCTGTATGACCGGTCACCTCGCTCCGTCCGTGGGCGCGGTATGACCGGTCACCTGGCTCCGTCTGTGGGCGCGGTGTGACCGCGCAGTCGAAGCGCCTTGAAGCCCCAGTTGCTGCTACCGCTCGCTCTCGCCCGGAGTCGGTACCATCCCGGCGCGAGCGGTGGATCGGGAGCCACGCCGCCCTTCAGGCGCGGGCACGCCGCGTGATGTCGGGCGATGGTAGCCGACCTTCTCGTTGCCAGCTGCCCGTCCGTTGTCGTCGTGTCTGGTGCGCTGGGGTGACGCGGCGCCTCCCCTGCGGCAGATACTTCTGGTTCAAGAACGGCAAGCCGTTCCAGTGGGCGGTGTACGACACTCGCATCTCCCAGCAGCCGGACCGTGGCACCCTGGTCATCACGTCACCGAAGGCGGAGGATATTGGTCAGTGCTGCTCGCACCGCCGGCCAACCGGCGGGCGCGTTTTGTGCGCGTGCGTGCTTGCGTGCGGGGTGGGGGGGGGGGGGGCCGTGTGTCCACAGTTTGAGGTCGAATGTGTGCGTGTGCCGACATGGCCATGGGCGTTGTGAGTACTTCAATCGAGGGCCCAGTATGCTGGGGATTGCTGATGAAAGGTGTGTGGATCGGTAGTGTGAATCGCTTGACAAAAATGTGGCCCTGCGGCACTGCACCAGTTGACATACCAATTCTCGCTCCGCGCTAGCCGACCGGACGCGTGGAGCTGCGGTAGTCTAGTCACCAGCGACAACGCTGTGGCCTGCGAGGCACATCGGTGATCGTCGGCCAGGTTTGAGCGTGCTGAAGCTGGGGTGCAGACCGCGCGCCGGGCGCTCGCCTCGGCCGGCGGCGCGCGGAGGCGAGAGCGGGCGCCGCCGCCTCCCCGCTGACCCGGCCGCGCCGCCCCCGGCAGGCTCGTACCAATGTCAGGCGACCAACACACACGGCACGGCCACCTCCAACTCGGTGTTCGTGCGCAAGTCCGACCTGAACTCGTTCAAGGACCAGCCGCCCATCACCATGACGGCCAACGAGGGCGAGCCGCTGGAGCTCAAGTGCAACCCGCCGGAGGGCTACCCCAACCCCACCGTCCACTGGATGATACAGGTCAGGCGCCGCCGCCGCCGCTCGGCGGGGGCCGTGACGCCTGCAGGGCCGGACGTGAACGCCGTTATGAGGTGTTTGCCCGGTACGGAACATCGGAATGAGTGGGGAGGCTGGGTAGCGGCGCCGCGCGCGTGGTCCGTCGTCGCGCCGTGGCGCCGGTTGTTGCCCGACCCTGCTGCACGACTCCTGCTGCGGCTGCTCGGTGGTGTTGGTTGAGATGGGATGCCGGGCGGGACGCGACCAGTGTCATGACACGATGTCATGACACGTCATGACACGACCCTGTGTCATAACACGACCCTGTGTCACGATGCGATCTTGTGGCATGACACTGGCTGTGATGTGACCACAGTGCGCGTGCTGCGGCTGGCCGCATTGTAGCAGACGCCGTGCTGTGATGAGTGTTACGATGCATTTGTGTCATGGACGCTGCGCGCGACGTGTCAGTGCTGTGAGACTGGTGGTAATGTGGCGCTCTGCAGAGACGCTGGTCTTACTATGACGCCGTGTTGACGTTAATGCATCAGTGGTGTTTTGGGCTGGGTCGACTACGAAGGTCACTGTGCCCCCCTCCCCCCCCCCCTATGGTGTGACACCGGTGGTGTTGGAGGACCGTGTCGTGGCACAGGTCATGGGGTACCGCTTTGTCGGAATAGCGGTTACGGTGCGTCTGTCGTGACAACGGTTATGGTGTCACTTTATCATGACACCAGTCATGGTGTGTCACATTCATGGCACCGGTCGTTATGTGTCATTGTGTCGTGACACCGGTCATGGTGTCTCACTGTGTCGTGACGCTAGTCATGGCGTGCCACTGTATCGTGACGACGGTTAGGGTGTGTTATTGTGTCGTGGCATGATTTGGAGGCATGGCTATTCGATCAAAGTTGTTTCCAGGCAGAGCTTGTGTCCTCACACTCGGCATGGCGGCGTGTGACGGCGCTGGAACCGCTGGCCGCGCTGGCCATGACCCCGACCGTGACCCGGACCCTGACCCCGACCACAACCCCGACCGTGACCCGGACCCTGACCCCGACCACAACCCCGACCGTGACCCTGACCCCGACCGTGACCCTGACCCCGACCCTGGCCCGACCTCGACCCTGACCCCGACCCCGACCTCGACCTCGACCCTGACCCCGACCGTGACCCTGACCCCGACCCTGGCCCCTACCCTGACCCTGTGTCACCGTCCGCCGGCAGGGCGACGGTGGCTCCCTCTCCAGCATCAACTCAACCCGCCAGACGGTCGGCCCCTTCGGTAACCTCTACTTCAGCAACGTCACCCTGGAAGACGCCAGCAACGGCTTTGTGTACGCCTGCTCGGCCACCTCCCCTTTCCGGTAAGGGTGGACGGCCAACTCTACTGCCAGTGCACGTCGGTGTATGTCGGTGCTTGTGAGACAACCCGTACTTAGCCCATGTTGTGCTGAACAGCCCGTAACTAGAGTATTTGTGCGGTCACATGCAAGTTTTGTTCCCAGCAGACCAGCGCACAAAACGTGCAAGCTGCAGGTGCAGCGTACCATGTTCACTGCTGTCTGCGCGACGGGACGTGGCCCAAACCAGAACGATAATTTTGCGTCCCGTCAGGTGCGACTTATTTGTCGCTTGTAATGCAGGTCCTTTTTTAAACGGCACCGCATGTGTCCAGGCCCAAGGCGAACTCGTTTGGCGTTGCTTATTCGGCGCGCACTGCTTGATAGCAATGCCATCGATCGCATCGTCCGCAAAACGTAACTCGTCGTATTGGCATTGACCGGCTTGCCCAGAGTAGGGCACGGGGTAAGTACGTTAAAGCTTGTCAGCAAAAGAGGGCTGAACATTTTTCCGTCGTGTGTAACGCTATGGCACAGGACCCAGTGGTAGAGGCTCCCTGTCCTGGTAGTGCCACTGCGATGTCTGTGTAGTGCCGATGCGATGCCGGTGTAGTGCCGATGCGATGCCGATGTAGGGCCGATGCGATGCCGACGTAGGGCCGATGCGATGCCGATGTAGGGCCGATGCGATGCAATGCGGTGGACGCGATCATAATCTGGTTGTGTGCCCTGAATCACTGCGTCCGCTCCCGGCCGTGGGCGGAGGTCGGCGCCTTGGCCAAATCTTTCCGGGTCGCCGAAGTGTGCGCGCGATGATGGCCTGAGTGCGTGACCCGCTGCCGCGTTGTCAGGAATGAATACAAGGTCGGCAACCGAGTGGAGCTGTCGGTGATCCGCACGGGCAGCGTCAGCTCCAAGAACAAGCGGGAGCCGATGAAGCAGTACCAGTCGCCCAAGAACATCGTAGCTCTGCGCGGCAGCAAAGTGGAGATCTGGTGCATTTACAGCGGCACGTAAGTGACGCCCGGCCCGGCGCCACCGGCCTGTGTCATGAACCACGGGTCCGTCGCGCGGGTGACAGGCGTCAGGTGTCGTGTGTCAGGCGGTGCGCGTGTGCTGACGCCGCCGTCGGCCTGTTTCATGTCACCGGCGTGTTTGTGACGTCGAATGCGTCGAGAGGAAAAGATGGCTTGTTTATAGCGGGCGAATCCTGGTGCTGCGCGCTGGTTGACGTACATGCGGTGTTTTTGCGCTGATGTCACGGATCCAGACAGCGTTTACCTTCCGATGTTTCCGGCTGGTGTGGTGCGCACATCCGTAACGTCGACCTCTGACCGTGACGTCATCCGCCGGCAGGCCGCTACCAACCACCCAGTGGCAGCGATCCAACGGCGTGCTCGATCTCAGCGATGGTCGCGTCAAGTTGAGCAACTTCGGCAAGTCCCTGTTGATCACGGAGGCCCTGTTTGAAGATGAGGGAGAGTACGAGTGCACTTCGAGCAACGGCGTCGGCACGGCGAAGACGAGTTCGTTTAACCTCAAACTCGAGTGTGAGTACACTCCTAATGTAGATAGCGGCACCAGCTTCGCGGCACGGTACCAGGTCTTCCAGAGTTTGTGAGTTCTCTGTCCTATTGCAGAATGGGTGCGTTGGTAGCTGGTTTTTGAATTGTTGCCGAGCTCCGAGAATTCTACAGTTCACTGCGCCGCTGATGGATAAGTTCAGGTGTAGATATATGGGCTGATGCGAGCTGGTAGCTGTCATGTGTAACTGTCATGGTAACTGTCTGTGCGTGGTAAAATGGGTAACTGTCATGCTAACTGTCTATGCGTGCGCTCGGTGCGATGGAAGTTCCGTTCAAAAACACGTGCAGTTTCCTAAGCTTCTTCCGTAGTCCCATTGGCAAACACTTGACCCGCGGCCGTGTTGCAGCCGTGCCGTACTTCACCAAGGAGCCAGAGGTGCGCAACGCGGCCGAGGGCGAGACGGTCGTGTTCGAGTGCGCCGCCGACGCCGTGCCCAAGCCCGATCTCTACTGGATCTACAACGGCATGCCGCTGGACAAGGCGCCTCCCAACCCGCGCCGCACCGTCACGCCGAACAAGATCACCATCACCAACCTGCAGAAGTCGGACACGGCCAACTACGGCTGCAACGCCACCAACAACAACGGCTACGTGTACAAGGACGTGTACGTGAACGTGCTGGAGCTGCCGCCGGAGATCCAGGAGAAGCCGCAGGACGTGGCGGCAGTGGTCGGCACGGACGTCAAGATGGTCTGCAAGGTGTTCGGCGCGCCGCACCCGGAGGTCAAGTGGCTGAGCGTCGGCGACAACAGGCAGGAGCTGACCGGCGGGCGCTACCAGATCGGCGACGACGGCACCATGACCATCAAGTACGTCCCTTACACTCCCCTACCCGTCCCCTAGTGAGTACCCTAGTCCCCTCCCCTCCCCTCCCCTTCCCTCCCCTCCCGTCCGTCCCAGCGCCGGTGCTGACGGACGACCCCGCGCCAAACGGCTGCCCAGGCAGTTCCCGGCGAGGTTGGCATGTTGAGTGTACTTGGTTGGCCTTAGCTAGGTCGGTATCGCCGTACGGTGCATTGCTATTCGGCTGCTAGAGCCTGTCGTTGCCGTTGAAAAGGTCCACGCACATACGGACCCACATCTTAATTGGGGAGGCACCGGTCGTGTTGTCCGCAGGGCGGAAAAGGTGTTCGGTGAAATGGAATTTCTGTTGTGGGGTGTTGGTGCCGGTCTTCAAACGGCTCATGCGTGGCCATGATCTTAAGTCGTCTCTGCTAAGCATTCAGGGAGTTGTTAAGCATGACGCTTCTGGCTATTAATCAATTCTCACCGCTTCACCCTCGCCGGCCTGCGGGGCAGAAGACGCCCCTCGGCTGTTCTGCTGGACAGAACGGCGCCAGTGGCGCTGACCAGATCGTGCTGGCCAGGTCGTGCTGGCCAGGCCGTGCTGGCCAGGCCGTGCTGGCCAGGCCGTGCTGGCCAGGCCGTGCTGGTACCGTGCTGGTCGTGGCGCGCCGGCCGAGCTCCGGGATGCCTGGCGCGAGCCTGGCCGCGGGCTCCGGGCGTGGAGTCTGCCGGCACCACCGGCACTGACCGCCGCCGTCTGGCCTGCCCGCAGGAGCGTGACTTTCCCCGACGCCGGAACTTACATGTGCCTGGCCACCAGCAAGCTGGGCGAGGACTCAGCCAACGGCACCCTGGTCGTGAAAGGTGCGCTGCAGAGCCTCCTGTTGATGGCCGGGCGGCACACTGTCTCAGACAAGCAGTGTTCGCTGTCCTCGCGGCGTACAAACGGCGACTGCTGACGGTGAACCGGTGAAGCTGACGTGCACGTAGGCGGGTTTGTTGTCTCACCTCCGTGAATCGTTTCACACCCGTCTGCATTAGTGGGTTGTTTGGCGATGGTGTCCGTGTAAGTCTGGGCTCGCTCCGTCCGGCGCGCGGCGCGACCGGCTCAGACTCGCGCGGCCGCCGCGTTTGTGTGGGTAGCGGGGCGGCGGCGGCGCTTGTCCACGGCTGGCCTGACCTGACCTGACCTGACCTGACCTGACCTGACCTGACCTGACCTGGCCTGATCTGACCTTGTTTCGCCGTCGGCCAGAGCGGACGCGCATCACGCAGGGCCCCGAGGACTACCAAGTGGTGGCCGGCAACTCTGCCACCTTCCGCTGCACGGCCGCCGTCGACTCGACGCTTGACGTCAGTATTGGCTGGCTGGCCGACGGCGTGCCCATCAACTTCGACATCGAGCCCAGGTGAGCGCCGCGTCGACGAGAGCGCGCGCCGCCGACTGGAGCGCGCGCCGCCGACCGAAGCCAGTGTCGAGCAGAACGCGCGCCGTGCTGCCCGGCGGTTTACGAGCTGCTTGTTCGGCGTGCGGGCGACGTTTTCGCTGTTGCCCTTGTTAAGGTGGTGTTCCTACCAGCTTGTGTGTCTAATTCCGATGTGATATCCGTGAATTTCTGGGAGCTTGCCTTGTGTCTACGTAGGCATGTTGTGTCTACATACCCCGCCTGCCCGGTCTGAAACAAGTGGCTGTCCGCTTTGTCAAGACAAGGTAATGCTTTGCTATTAATGCTGGCGAGCGTGGGAGCATGTTCGGCACGCCATGGTATACCCCACATAGATACATAAACGGGACTTCAAGCAGGACTTCTGCAGCGCTGTACCTGCGTGGAGCGAGCTCATTGTCAATCAACCCACCCGAACGCGTTGCTGTCGCGGCTACAGGTTCATCCAGACGTCGGACAACTCGCTGACCATCACCAAGACGACCGAGCTCGACTCCAAGGTGTACACGTGCGTGGCGTCCACCGAGCTGGACGAGGCGCGGGACGACGCCACGCTCAAGGTGGAGGACGTGCCTAACGCGCCGACGCTGAAGACCGTCGCTTGCAGGTGAGGCGACGGGGGCCGGCTGACGCGCCCGCTCGGCCGCGTGCCGCCCGTGGATGGGGCCCGCCGTGGGCGCGCACCCTGTCTCTGAGGGTGACTGACGTCGCGCGCGGTGCGGGAGTCGCTCCAGACTGGCGGGGTCGCTGTCACCTGGCGCGACCCGGGTGCCTGTCCTCTTGGAATGGCCGTGGGCCCTGCCCACCTGATGCGGCCCGGTGTCTGACCGCTGATGCGGACCATTCCACGCCCCTGCGCCTGCCTGACGCCGCCCGTGTGTCGTCTCTGAGGGTGACCGTGTTACTGGCGCCCCCGCCCGCCTGATGCTGCCTGTGTGTTGTCTAAGTATGACCATGCTTCTGCCCCCCGCCTGTGTGACGCCGCCCGTGCGCTGCCCCTAGGGAGCAGGTGGCCGAAGTGGGGTGGCAGCCGAACGGCGACAACCGCGCACCGATCCTGGGCTTCACCATCCAGTACAACACCAGCTTCGCGCCTGACACCTGGGAAGAGGCGGCCAACTCGCCAGCCTCGAGCAGCAGCTACACGGTCAGCATCAGCCCCCTGGGCCAACTACACGTTCCGCGTGATCGCGAAGAACCGCGTGGGCCCGTCGCTGCCGTCCGGCCACTCGGAGGTGTGCACCACGCCCAAGGCGCTGCCCGAGAAGAATCCCAAGAACGTGGAGGGCCGCGGCACGAAGCCGGACAACTTGGTCATCCGCTGGACGGTGAGTGCGCCGGCCTCGTGCGGCCTCGGTCCGTCGCCGGTCGCGTTGCGAGTGGCTCCCCGCCGGCCCCGTTAGGCGCCTTGTGTCAAGAGGGCTGTACGTACCGATGAGCACGTATGGGCGAGTGGGCCCGCTGTCTCACTGATCTTGGTCGGCGAGTTAGCTCGCTGTCTCACTCGTCTTGACCGGTGAGTTGTCTCGTTATTCCACTTGTCTTGGTCGGTGAGTTGTCTCGTCATTCCACTTGTCTTGATCGGTGAGTTGTCTCGTCATTCCACTTGTCTAGATCGGTGAGTTGTCTCGTCATTCCATTTGTCTTGATCGGTGAGTTGTCTCGTCATTCCATTTGTCTAGATCGGTGAGTTGTCTCGTCACACCTGTCGTGATCGGCGCCTTGTCTCGTCACGCTTATCTTGATCGGTGAGTTGTCTCGTTATTCCACTTGTCTTGATCGGTGACCTGTCCTATCGTACTTGTCTTGGTCGGTGCGTTGTCTCATTATCCCACTCGCCTTGATCCGTGACTTGTCACGTCACCTTCGTCTTGATCGACGCCGTCACACTTGTTCTGATCAGTGATTGTTTCGTTACCCTTCTTGCCTTGATCGGTCTTGGAGCCCGTCCCCGTGGCACTGGCGTGCTGCCTCAACCATCCAGCGGCCGGCCGGCCTGACCCGCCGTGTCGTCCGCAGCCAATGTCGAAGATCGACCACAACGCGCCCAAGTTCCGCTACCTCGTCCGCTGGAAGCGCAACGAGTCGAACGCCGAGTGGAACCAGAAGGTGATCATGGACTGGCGGCGCGGCCATCTGGTGATCCCCAACCAGCCCACCTACGTGCCGTACAAGATCCGCGTGGACGCGCTGAACGAGCTGGGCGAGAGCGTGGTCGAGTCGGCCGAGGTGATCGGCTACTCGGGCGAGGACGGTGAGTGGTCGGGCGGCGCGGCGGGCTCGTCATTGCGACGCGGGGCTGCGGCGGTGGGGACGCGCTGTCGCGACCACGCGCTCGGTGGCGCGGCGCCGCGGACTGCGAGGGACGGCGCGTGCTTGCCGACACATGCGCCAGAGCGGTGCGTGGGCAGGGCTTGAAGCAGGTCTGTCGGACCCACGGTTATCCAGCACTGACACGCCCGGCTGTCCGTTGAGATCTGCTAGACACAATCCTATGTGTTTTTGTTGCGTCAGTGAATGTGAAATGCCCCTCGTCCAGCACCCAACAAATCAGAAAAAAACGATGATTCGGCGCGTTTTGTGGCGAAGAGTCGCTGCTGCTGGGGCGTACCTGGAGGGCGGTGGGAAGGCTGAGGTGCCCGCTCTGTGTCCGACAGTGCCCACGGCGCCGCCTACCAACTTCCGGCTGGAGAAGATCTACGACGGCAAGCGCGCGCTCTTCTCGTGGAGCCCCGTGGACAACTCGACCATCCGCGGGGAGTTCCTCGGGTACAAGGTGAGCGCCGGCGTCCTCCGGCACCGGCCGCTCCGGCGGGCGCTCGGCCGGCTGGCTGAGACGCCGTCACTGGCGCCGTTGTGAGTCGTGTATTGACGGACGCGAGGCACCGAGCGGCTAGTGGCGGGGTGAAGTCCACGAACACCGCCGCTGATAGTCGGCCGCTCGCCGCGGCGTGTTAGACGCCGCTCCGGCCTGTCGGCGCGGACTGCGCCGGTGGTTGCCGCGCGCCGGTCTGAGCCGGCGCGGATCTGCCGCGGGCGGCCGCTCCCCGCCCCTCGGCGGCGGTCGTGCCGCGCTGTGCCGCCCCTGATCCGGCCCGCGCCTCGCCGTCGCCAGATCCAAACCTGGACCGAGAAGGAGGGCACCGACAAGAAGCGCGAGATGTCGTTCGGGCCAGACGTGACCCAGGGGCTCGTCACCAAGTTCAAGCCGCACGCGCGCAACAAGGTGCAGATTCTGTCCTTCAACCGGATGTACGAGGGACCGCCGAGTGAGGTTGACCTTCGACACGCCGCAGGGCCGTGATGCGCCGCCGGGGAGCCCCGAGTCTCGGCGCGGCGCGTTCAGCCCGGAGCGTGCTGCTCCGAGACCACCCGGTGCCGGTCGGGCCCGGTGCCGTTCGGCCACGCGCGGCTGGGGTGGGGGTATTCTTGAGTGCGGCTGGGAGTCGTGGTGTTGGCTGTGTCCGCTGTTACCTGAAAATGTGTGTGGTGGGCCCGCTTCGCTTATCAATGTTCCTGACAC